GGTGGGGCTTTTTTACATTTTAACCATGTACTTCATGGCTATATTACATCACATAGATTAGTGCTGGCCATTTTGCAGAGCAGACCAAAACTTTTAGACAAATTTCTAGGCAGACACTGATCTTGAGTTAGCTAAGAAAATCAACATAAAACTTGTTTGAACCAAATATTTCATCACTGCTTTCGTTTATCTGCCAAAGGAGTCGTCCATTAAACATAGAGCATCTGAAAGTATAGATATACTCTGATTGTACGGAGATCATACTCTTGAAGACAACCAGGGCAGAATGCCCTCCAGACGAGTTTTCTTGGGTTTGATAAACACCTTTTCTCGTCCCCTTATTAATGTGTGTTGCATTGCAGTGTTGGGTAGATTTTGCCTCAACCAGAGCAGCAGGTGTTTGCTAGGAGAAACGGTGACACATGGATGCGCCCTGTCAGGCAACTCATTAGAGACTCTGCACCTCCTTTGTCTCCTCATTTAGAGGAGAGAAGAGTGCACATACACAAACACATGAACGCACGTATACAAGTGCACAAAGCAGCAGGTGGCCACTATCAGCTGGACAAATCAAAGCAGGCAAAGTCAACATAAGCTTATCGGATGGATATAAGAACGAGAGAGAAACATTTCCAAGTACTCCGAGTGTAGAAGTTCTTGTGTCAGTTTTTTTCCTCAACTTTGGGATGACATGAATGTCACAAACAGAATGTGCTGATGATAAAGACAAAGTAAAAAGTGACAGTGACAGTGGCGTCGGGCGTACAGTAAACTCTCTAGGGGAGACAAAGCATATGGTAGATGCTCTGCATGAGAGCTGTGTTAATTGATGAGAATTAGTTCACTGTGAGTACACACGTAAGCAGCGATGATACGTGCTGCATATCTAATTTGTGGTATACCCTAAATTAAATATGTGTTGGTATTAGTGTTTGAGGGTCTTTCAGACTGTATTACAGCATCTGCTGGATCCAAGACAAAAAAAACAAAACAAAAATGCCATTTTGTGTTGCTGCACTATTACATCGAATGAAATGCATAATTTCTTACGCATTTAAGTGGAATTTAGTGTGATTCACAAGTACACAAATTAAATATATCTGAAAGCTTTGGAGTTTAGAAGAATGTTTAAAGGTTCTATTTGTTAACTTGTAGTTGATGACATAACAGATTTTATAGTTTAAATGCAATAACCAGTGCTGGAATGGGACCTGTAGGACCAATACCATATTAGAGATGGACCACAGTAACTCTCATTATAAAAACACAGCATATTTTGATTTAATATACACCTGTATTTTTCAACAATTTGTAATTATTTCTCCCAGCATTCAAGATGTTTTATCTCAGAGTAGCATCCCTGCTGATATCTGGGCTCCTTCTTAAACTCTTGGCCCTGGCAGAATATAATTAAATCTGAAATCCCTAACAGTAGAGGCACTTGAAATTATGATAAAACTAAAACAAAGATGGAAGAGCATTCAGGCTCACGCTTGTGTGATATCATATCATGTCTTTGTGTCGTCTTGCGAGTAAACAGCTATCTGACTATTTGAATGAAAATGTCCTTACAATTTTAGTAATTGAATCATTTGTTATTCGCTACACAGTAATAGAATTAACAAAAATAGCATGGCCCGATTAGGATTGTATAGCGAAATGAAATTTTACTGTGCTATATTTTTTTATTATTTAGAGTTTTGATTCCTGTAACAAGGCACTCTAGCATTTGATAATTTCATTTGCATAAAGTTGAGGAACTTCCAAGACACAAATTTAAGAATGGCTAAAATTGATGCAGTAGACACAGATATCCTGACTTTTAGTTGATTGCATGGGTCAAACTCATAAACACGGGATCCTAAACATCCCATCATGCAACGTGATAGTGTCCTTTATAAGACCATCCCTGCCTGTTAAATGCCTACATCTGTTTTCACAAGCTGAGCAGTAATCCCTGTGACATGAAAATTAACTTGTAAAGTTGGTGGAGCTGCACCTTTACATTCCATCTGTGTGTGTGTGTGTGTGTGTTTGTGTGTGTGTGTGTGTGTGTGTGTGTGGCAGTTAAACTACTTCTCTCTCAACTTTTTCTCCTCGTGTCTAACACTCTCTCTCTTCTGTTACAATCACATACATTAACATGCACTCAGCTTCAGCTGCCATCAAGCATTCTCTCTTTTTCCCAACATGGCTCCACTCTCATCTATCACAACATGGCTCCCCCTCCCTCTCGGTTTGTCGGCCATTTTAGAAATCTTTTCTCCTCTTTCTCCACAGCTGTCTCTCGCCCAGTGTCTGCAAAGCTCTAGTGCTGCACTGTTAATAAACAGCAAAGAAAAAGAAAAAAAAGCGCCAACCTTCTTCTTCTCCCCACCATCTCTCCACAGTTTGCACTTTACCATCCTCTTTACTCCCTGCCTTCGTACCCTGTTGTCTTTCTTCATCCTCTCTTTTTTTTCCCCTCCTCTGGCACACAACCTCTTTATAGCCCTCCTTGCCATGCTGCGATAATTAGTCAGCGCTAAAATAATACAGCCTCTAGAAAACAACAAGAGCTGAGCAGAGGGCTTAGCTCCACTGGGAGGTAGGGAGGGGGAGGGATGGTGAGAACCAGAGAAAGAGAGAGGGAGACAGGAAATGCAATGGAGAGAGGGAGAGAGAGGGAGGAGAG